GAGCCGTCGGTTGGAAGGTCGGCAAGAAGATCTTGTGCGACAGGCCTTGGACGAACCATCTCGGCAGTCTTCACAAGTCTTCGTTGACGTTTACGTTCTGGAATTGGTATTAAGTAGGGGGCCGAAGTGGATGGAAGATCGGCTGGGTCAGAGGTGGATCCTTGATCTGTTCGGGATGAAGAAGCGGTTACAGTTGTGGCAGTAGGTGGAGAGAGACTCTTTTTCTTCCTTTTTGGGATGTCGGGTAAAGTGGATTTATATGTAGGGATGAAGTTTAGTAACAGTGGGGCTTTTTGTTTATGGATTGGAAGGTCAAAGAGTTTTTTCAGATCTGTTCCTGGGAAGAAGGATTGACGGAAGTTTTTCGATGGCTGATGAAGATCTGCAGGACAAAGAAACAGACGTCAGAAACAGAAAGTATTAAAGACTTAAATAAAAACAACTAAGTGTTGGCTCAGGGCTCTTACCCTTGCCCTCTTTTACTGTTCGAGGAAGAGGGTAGAGGTGGGCATCTTCATCTGGGCCAAATTCCCAGTTTCCCGAAGCGATAACAAAGTCATCTCCAGCCCCCTTGTTGGAGTTTGGGAGGTCGGCTACAATTTTGAACTTGGTAGACCTCGACTTAAGGTAATAAACAAAACCCCTTTCCTTCAGGTTGAGGGGGCACATTGTATAACAGTACTGAAGGTCGGCCAGGGTAATCCTAAGATTCTCCTGCCTAGCTAAAGCTATAATACCGTTAATCACCCTATAGGAGTTGATAGTAAGTTGCATGGGGTTCAGCTTGTAGAAATAAAGAACTTCACCAAATAGGGGATTAAGTGGAAGCCGAAGTCCACATTCAGTAAAGGCCACTATAGGAAAAGGCATCATATGGTCTGTGGGCATAATGGTATCATCATCCCCAGCTAACTTAAGGTGAACATCGGCTGGGATAGAGAATTCTTGCCTAAAGTATTCGAGTTTTGTTGGGGTATTTACCCTATGCCTCCACATACCCATTACGTCGACTTAAACAAAAGAAGAATGTATTTCAGAAAATGGGCGTTCAAAGAAAGGATGCAAGAACCTCGGCAAAGACCTAGGAAGGGACTGACAAGGCTTGTTTCAATTTTCCCTAAAAAATTGAAGGTTCTACACAGAAACTCCCAAGCCAAAGAACTATAAAGATCAAAATCGAAGGCACAGATCTGAAACAGATACGAAAAATCAAGAAAATAATGGCAAAGTTTCAGATTCAAGAACAACGGTGGGCTATCAGAAACACGAAGAATACAAAGGGTTAAAAGTCAAGAATTATGGCAAGAAAAGCGGTGAAATAGTGCAAATATTCAAGATGTAGCCACGATTCAAAATACAAACGAATCCAAGGCTTTGAGCAAAGCAATAACGACAAACAGGTAGACGAAAGCACATAAAGAGAACTAAAAGTAAAAGGAACAGAATCTTACCAGAACAAATGAAGCCGGAGCAATATTCGCCGAAATCAGATGTCGGTTGTGACAGCAAGGAAAGCTTCGCAAAAATGGAAGATTAAAGACAGTTGCAGAAGAGAGATTGAAGCAATGGCAGATTCGAAGAAAAAAGGGCTTTCGGAGAGAGAAAGAGCAAGAAATCAGAATGAAAAAGTGAAGAAAGAAAGGGGCAAAGAAAAGTTTTGTGAAAAACTTAAAACGGCGGCAAAACAGGGCATTTATTGCGCCTGGAGCACCGGATACGTCAGACGGCGCAGACGGATGAAAAGACAGCCTTAAGGCGCGTCACAGACACGCTCCAATAAAGACAGAGCACGTGAAAGGAACGGTTAGATGTGCATGACAGCTCATGCGCGTGATGGAGTACATTTGAATTCTTGTTCTCAGAAGCGAACACATCGGCTTGGAAAAGAATTATCTCGGCCAAACAGTTTCTTGACCACAATGCAGAAAGAAATATCAATATAGGTTCCATCACCTCAAAATGCCGAGGTAATAGAACCTAGGGGGCAATTGTGGGGATATATTTTCTGAATACCAACACGTGGCATGGTGACGCCAACGTGCCAGCCGAGGTGCCACGTGTCGTGGTAGTTAGGCCGAGGTGATCTCGGAGTTGCCGAGGTTATCTCCGAAGATATCGGAATCCGAGATAAACGAATAAGGGACAAGAGTCCTAAGACGATGAGGGGACTTAACCAAGATAAGGATAAAGCTCTTACGGAGTTTATCTTTATCTCTTGAGGAGTCCAAAGTAAGCACAAAATTGGAGTTCATAGAAGTCATACTTCTAGTGGGACTTGGATTGAGTATATTATAAAAGAGAGGCACCCCCGTGGGTCTAAGGTATGCATTTTATGTTTTGAGTATTAAGTTTAGCACTTGATTATCCTTGAGAAAGATATTGACTTGATCGTCGGAGTGTCCCCGGGTGGAAGAACCACCGCCGGAGCCTTTTCTTTCTGTTGCAGGTTGCTGAAGCCATCTATTCTGCCTGTGCTCTCCAGTTGATCACTGAGTAGGCAGTGTGGTCAGATTTTCACCCACACAACAAGATGGTAGATATCATGTGATATTGTCTTCTATTGTGATTAAATTTGATAATGGAGTCTATTACATTTATGTTTGGTGTTTGAGAGATAGTAGAGACATGCATTTATACCACTTACCAGTGCCATGTAGTACCTTCTTGGCATACAAAAATTTCTCAAAAACAAGGGAATAGTAGAGAAATAAGGTAGTATTTGGTTCACTAGAATAAAATAGAATGGAATGATCATTTCATCAAAATATTCATTTTCATGTTTGGTTAGACTACCAAAATGATGACAAATGTAATATAAATGAAATCATCTTACATAATTTTGAGCGAATGATGATTCCATAAAAAAAGTAACCACTATTTTATTCTCTCATTCCAAAGAAATTATTTAATGCTCCCGAAGTAAATTTAGATGACTCGAAATGGGCACACGACCATGTGATTTTATAATTTTTGAGAGACATTATTGCTATTCTGAGGTAAAAGTTAAACTTATTTTTTAAATCTATTAATGTGGCAATCAAATTGAATATTTTTTTTTGAGAAAATATAAAGAAGTTACATTAAAAAAAAAGAAAAGAAAAAGAAGTTACATTAAAAAAAAAAAGTAAATTACAAACACACTCCCTGAAATTTGTTTTAAATAAAAATTATTTCCTGTGATTTAAAAATTACATCCCGCCCCTTAAAGTGTCAAATTTAATAACAAATAGTCTCTTTTATTATTAAATCGTCAAGTTAATTAATAACTTTTAATAATGTCAGAAATTTATTTAATTAATAATTTATGTAATTTTATTATTATGTAGGAGAATAATTAAAAAAATTATTTTTTCAATGAATCTATAAATTAAAAATTATAACAAGAGATTATTTATAATTTTTCAAACAATAAAAAACAATTCGTATTTTAAGCAAATCTTAAGAGGTATATTTGTGAGTGAGAGGGTAATTTATAAATAAATTGGGTGGAGCTAGGGAAGGGCCTTTTTTGTAAGTTGGGCCGCACAATAGGCTGAGGTAAGAGTTGATATAGCCCGGTCTTAGAGCTAACGAGCTTGGCCTAGGTGAAGTTCGGACCGAGCTATGAATTGAGGAGCTTGGGACCTCGCACGATCGACCTCATTCTAGTTAGCCCGATGAGAGACCGCTACAGTTAGCTCGATTTGAACAGCCAGAGCCGAGGTGTACGTGGACAAGGACCGAGCTAGGCATTGCGTTTAGAGTCACCGAATTGAGTATGTCAGAGGGCTACTGTTAGCTCGGTCATACTGTTATCCAACCGTGATAAAATCATCTCACTTGGTTTAAGCAGTGAGGAGGGTGTTGAAGGATAAGCATTATCTTTCAGAAGTGTGATTCCTAGGCGAACTCTACTTTGAGGAGTAAGAGTCCTACTAGGATTGTGCCAGGCAAAAATTATAAAAGCTCACAACAGAACCTATATACAGGTAATACAATTTTGATTTTCGGAATACACAGAGCTTTTGTCTATTTGTCTATTTTGCTGACTTAGGCATCGGAGAGGTATCCGGCACACACCCGCCGACTAGCTCACATTTGTGTTTTCAGGGAATAGAGCGATAACGTTTGGAGGAGCGCAAACTTGATTAACAGGATTATACGAGAACATTATTTCGTACTCGTACAGTGAGCAACATACAAATCAAGAAAAGAAAAACAATAAGACGTTAAAGGGTTAAATAAACAACTCAACAAGAACTACAAACAACAAAAAAATAAAGCCGAAAAAAAACAAAAATTACTATTTAAGAAAAATCACCAATTTACTCGGGATGTGATTTGAAAAAGTAAGATCTACATTAAACCCATTGTCGTAGTCATTATTGCCCAACTTTGCCACTGTCATTGTCGAACTTTAATCGCCACCAAAAATTAGAATTGAAGATAAAAAACACATGCAACAATACCAGAGTGATTAAAAAAAAAAATTATTATGCGCGTCGAAAATCCAAACACATTATGCCCCACATAAAATATTCAGATATATACTCGACATTTTAAAAATGTAAAGGAGTTCGCTGGACCGTTGTCGGACCATCACGGCAACACGGACAAAAATCACCTACAGAAAAGCTCTTCTGAATCTGAAATATATTTTCTAATCATTATTTAATTATTATTAATTTATATATGATTTTTCTTTCTGAGGATGGTCCTGTTTAGTAAGACTTATTTTTAGTTTATTTTAATTTTTAATTTAATTTAAATTATTTTGATGTGTTTGATTCAGCTTAACAATACACCTTATAATTTTTTGTTAGTTAAAAATTAACTTATTCTTTGAGTGGAGAGGAGAAGTTTAATTTATAAGTCAAAAATTAACTTATGTTCATAATTATAAGTTATAAACTGTTAAATTATAAGTTATAATCACTTTCCCACGGCTCTATCAAACCGTGCCGATAGGACAAACATGGTGTCTCACCAAACACTTCTTGACGGACCTCAGAATCTATCTCTCTCTCTCTCTGCTAATGATGACGAAGAGCAGCGGAGAGCACCACTTTAACAACTGAAGAACTACTATTCGAGGCACACTTCAACTCTCTCTCTCTCTCTCTCTCTCTCTCTCTAAAACTCAAAAATGGATGAGATTGAGCACAAGTACGTTGAAGTGAAAGGTCTGAAGCTCCATGTAGCTGAGATCGGATTGGGCCAATCGGTTGTGGTGTTCCTCCACGGGTTTCCCGAGATATGGTACTCCTGGCGCCACCAGATGATCGCCCTCTCCAGCGCCGGTTACCGAGCGATCGCGCCCGATTACAGAGGGTACGGGCTGTCCGACTCACCACCCGAACCCGGAAATGCCTCCTTTGGTGACCTCATCACCGACCTCCTCGCTATCCTCGATGCCCTCAGCCTTCCTAAGGTATCCATCCCCACAACTCTTCTTCGTTACTTTGTGTTTGGATGCCGAGAAAATAGAGGAAAGGAAAATAAAGTAAGTTTTGGTGCAAATTATAGTTGTGGTAAATGTAATTTTGCCTGTCAATTTGGTCCATAATTTCAATTGCATCAATTTAAATTTTTAATTTTTTTTTTTAAAAAATTGTGTGAATTAAGTCTAATTAATAACGTAGTTGTGTAATTAGACAGAAATAAATAAGGGCTAAATGATCAAGTCTAAGTGGAATAGCCATTTCAAATTGTACGTCAATTTCTTAATGTTTTGAGGAGAGTAATATATTATTAATTTGATTAAAATGATACAATATAAAAAATTAAGCGAAAATTAGAAAATAAAAATTCAGAGTTTGACATAACAAAATAAATAATAGAATTTTAATTTTTATCTAATTATTTGATTTGTTGTTAATCAAAAGCATTTGCCTATTTCAATTAATTAAAACTAATGGAGAAATAATATTTTAGCTATTTAACTCAATGTAAATGTACATAAAATGTCTAAAATATTCTTTTTTGTTGAGTTTAATAATAATAATTAAAATACCTTTTTTTTCTTGTCAGTTTTACATAACGAAAATAAGTACATAGCTTAAATTAAAAATAAATCAAAAGATTAAAGTTTAAAGTAACAAAATTAAAGACTCATTGCAAGGGTCAACCACGTGACTTTTTTTTGTTGTTGTTATTTTTCCAAAAATTAGAAGTAAAATTGATGCAATTATAATTAACACGAGGCAAATTATAGAGACCACGGATGATATTTGCCCTAAATTTAGTTTTAAGAAATTAAATTATGGATGAATCTGCGTTCTGCCCTGTTTTATTTAGATGTGATTATGACATCATTTGTGGTTGAGCATATTGGGTTTTTGACTATTTTTGCAGAGTATTTTTTAACAGATGCAAAATTTTTGGGGATGTTTTGGAATTTCTTCTTCTAATACATCCAAAAAATTGGAGAAGAAGAAATTGGGAAACAATAAAAAACATGTCAATAAAATTGTTTATTTAGAAAACTACTAGAAATTTTACTTCACTTGAAATGACAAAATTATAGCCAATATATATATATATATGAAAATGGTTGAAGTTTTGTAATTTTTATTTATAATTGTTTGGATACACCTTGTCATAGTAGCATGGATATTTTCTTGAAATGTAATTGGTTTTCTATGACAGGTTTATGATTATAATCAAATCAAACATTAAGAGAGTAGAGGCAATCTCAAACTCATAAGAAAATGTTAGTTTGGAAACCTTTTGCATTCTACTAAACATCATGGGGGAAACAATTGGAGCCTTGGTTGATATTTACAGAAAAAGCCAATTATCAAAGTTAACTCCATATCAAGTGTTTGAGGAAAAAATTTACAATAACATTTATTTAAATAAGGGCAAATTACACTAACAGTCTCTGCAGTTTGGGATTTATATCACTTTGGTTTATGACTTTTTAATTGTGATACATTTAACTATGAATTTTTAATATTGTTCCAAATAAGGAAATCAAAGATGTTTCCTTTGCAAACGGTTCATTTCAAAGGCAAAGTCGTCATACAACTTATTTTGTATTGATCAGCTTATATGTTATTTGAAATGTAATGGCCTCTTTTTTAATGAATAATATTAAAACTTTCTTGGTTATAAAGTTCTGTTTTGTTTGGTTTTCAGAATCTGTTTTCATAAACAAAAATTCTAAGAAACTAAAAATTAAATTGTTAAAAAAAATTTAATATACGTCATTTTTATATAATTTATCTTTTGGAAGGGTAGAAATAGCTGAAATGATGATGCTAAGGTGGATGTATGTCAAGACTAGACAAGACAGAATAGAAATGAGTGTATTCGGGAATTGATAGGAGTAAAACCGATAAAAGATAAGTAGAGAGAGAATCGATTGAGATGGTTTGGTCACATTCAACGGAGACCAACAGAGGTAGTAGTGAAGAGATGTGATGCTATAACCGTAGAAAGAAGTGTTAGGGGACGGGATAGGCCTAGATTAACATTGATTAGCGTTGTAAATAGAGACATGGATCTAGTTAATTTGACTAACGAAATGGCCTTTGATAGGGCCGCGTGGAGAAGAATGATTCATGTAGCCGATCCCATTTGATGGGACTTGCTTAGTTTGGTTTGGAAGGGTAGAAATAATTTTTTAAAATAATTTTTTTTTGATATTTATTTTCGTTAAATTATTTTTTGTCTTTTCAAAAGTCAAACATGACGACAATTTTGATATTATTATTAAATCATCCATTAAATCAAAAAATTTAAAATTAAAAATATTTCATAAATTAAATATATCGATTATACATTAAAAGCTTAATATATGTAAACAATAAGTATAACCATCTACTGCATGATAACCATAAAAAATATATCAACAAAACCAAGCACTTATTGCATGATCATCATCCAAACACATACTAAAATTAATTTGGTAACAAAATAAAAATAAAAATAAATAAACAAATATGTAAAATTTACCCATTACATGATCATCATCTAAACACATACTAAAAATTAATTTGGTGAAAAAATAAAAAAATAAAAATGTAAAAGATTTATTATTTTTATATAATTTTATCTTTAGTGGGTAAAAATAATTTTTAAAAATTCAAAAATAATTTGTTGACATTTATTTTGTCAAATTAGTTTATATTTTATCAAATTAACGACTTGGCTCTTGAAATGGAACAACTATGTCTTCAATTCTCCTTATTTGGACCGAAATTCAAAATTCAAGATCAAATGTATCACAATTGAAAAGTCATTAACCAGAGTGACACAAGTTTCAAACTATAGGAACCGTTAGTGTAATTTGTCCTTTAACTAATTAAATATTTTTTTTTAAAGCAAAAGCCATTTAACCTGTGTTATATGAACGATTCTACTTCCCCTAGTATACCCGTGTCTAGAAGGGTACGTGATATGTGTTTGACAGCCAGATTTAATTTAGACATCTTCTAATTTTGTATGATATTTGAAGAACAATACGCGCTCACATTTATTGGTGAATAAGCATATCTAGCTTCCCACACTAATGAGAGAAATAAATTCAATATTTTTCCTAAATCTCATTGAGAAATACATTTCTAAATAATTTAAAGCATCTTATTTACAAACATTATATAATATGCAATATGTATAATATTTAAGATGTGTTCACGTACCCCAATCTAATGTTTTGATGCATATCTCACCATCCTAATCTTTAGATTTAGGAAGATCTGACACAGTGACACTTGGCCATGTACCTGCACTATATACTTGTACCCGAGTCCATGTAATATAGCATTTAACCTTTTATCTCTTTCCTGTCTTTTCACACATTTTATTCGTAGGTTTTCCTCGTTGCTAAAGATTTTGGGGCTCGGCCTGCTTACTTTTTTGCCCTTCTCTACCCAGAGAGGGTCTCGGGAATTATAACTTTGGGTGTGCCATTTGTGCCCCCAAGTCCCTCTACTTACCACAAGTACCTACCTGAAGGTTTCTACATCTCAAGGTGGAAGGTGAGTAGTAACTTTTTCAGTTTACTTGCTTAGAATTGAAGAAACAATTTTAGCTTCTTGCAATTTGATGTTTGTAATCTCAATACTAGGAACCTGGACGAGCTGAAGCTGATTTTGGCCGCTTTGATGTTAAAACAATTGTGCGGAACATCTACATTCTCTTCTCCAAAAGTGAAATACCAATAGCGGGAGAAAACCAAGAGATCATGGATTTGGTGGAACCGTCTACTCCTCTACCCCCTTGGTTCACAGAGGAAGATCTTGAAAACTATGAAGCTTTGTACAAGAAATCTGGAGTCCTCGCCGCCATGCAAGTTCCTTACAGGTAAATAGTTTCAAACTCAAAAATTGTTTTTGAGCTTTTTGTTTTCCATGTTTTTTTTTCTTAATGAACTTTTTGTATATTTTAGTCAAAAAAAATTTTAAACTTCTTTGATGCACTTAAAAGTAAAATATTTGTGAAGAAGTTCGAAAAAAATTCATTGAAGACAAAAAAAAAAAAAAAAAAAAAAAAAAAAAAAAAAAAAAAAAAAAAAAAAAAAAAAAAAAAAAAATCAAAAATCAAAAATAATTTTCAAAAACTAAACCAAACATTGGTTCAAGTCCTGCCTTCCCGTTAGTTAAGTACTTAATACAAGGCCCTTGCCAATCATCCTTCCCTGTCCTTTTGTATACTATGTTGATCGAACAAAAGGTTGGCTAATTGAAACTTTTGAACAGGTTTGGCCAACTAACTTCTAAAGCCACCATCTAATAATATAGCTTTGCTGATATGTCATTTTACAGGTCTTTTGGAGAAGTGTTCAACTTACCAAATACAAAAGTTGAAGCTCCAGCATTGCTGATCATGGGTGAGAAGGATTATTTTTTCAAATTTCCAGGAATAGAGGACTACATAAGAAGTGGAAAGGTGAAAGTGTCTGTTCCTGATTTGGAGATAACATACTTGCCAGAAGGAACCCATTTTGTTCAGGAGCAATTCCCCGATCAGGTGAACCAGCTCATGCTCACCTTCCTCAGTAAGCATAGTTGTTGATTTCAAACATTAAAGGTTGGTTTGTTGTTGTCATTTGAAGTGTGTTGAAAGGTTTGGTTTGGAGCTCAGGAATACTGTTTGGTCACATATCAGTATGCCAATTTGTGACATGAATAATTAAAGGTAAATTACACCAACCTCCCCTCAGATTTAGAGAAAACACAAGCTTTACAGTTTTGCAATAATTACATTGAGTTCTTTTTAATGGTTTCGCCACTTTTCATCTATAAATCGTTAGTAATATGATGGAAAATGATGTTGTCATCTGTTTTACACCAAAATGTTTATTTTTCTTTATTGATCCTTATATTTTCATACCATTTGCATTCGTTTTGGTCCATTTAACTTTATTAAAAGGATGATTAGTGTAATTATGTCAATTATGGAGCTTCTTGTATTTTTTTTCCAAATTTTAAGAAATTACCCAGTAAATAACTTTGTTTGGTATTTTCAATTGTAGGCACTTTTGGTACCAATTTGATGGAAGAATTGCCTGTGATAACCATTCTAGTTGTGCGTCAATTTTCATGGTGATAATGAGAGTTTAGTGCCTATCTAAAAAAAAAAAAATGAGAGTTTAGTGTACAATCACTTACTAAAAAAACTTCGCTGCTTCTATTTGATTTCATTTTTAAAATTTATTTTTGTTTAGGGGCACTTTTGTGTAATCCAATATGTTTGATTTATGATTCATTTGGGCCTATTCATATTCTTAGAGGGTTGCTAAATGTCCCTACATTTCTACTTCGAACCCCCACCTCCTTCATTTTTTTTAAATACTAATTTTGTCCAAATATAAAATTTCATTTTTACCCTCGCCCCTAATCTTCTAACCCTAATTTTCCAAACCCAAACCCTAACCCTAATCTCATTCCTCACCACCATCCAGCAGCCCCTAGTCGCTGCAACCACCACTCCCTCCGATGTGTCACCATTGTGACCACCACCACCTTCATAGCCCCCTCACTACCGCCATTGAGAGAGAGAGAGAGTAACAGTCACCACTTCTCTACCTCTAGCGAATATTGCTTTTAGATAAAAAAAAAAATCCTAGATCTAGGGTTAGGGTTCTAGGAGAAGAAGAAGAAGATGAGGAGGAGGATGATTAGAAAAACAGTACAATTGAAGATTTGTATCAATAAAATTTCATTTTTACCCTCGCCCCTAATCTTCTAACCCTAATTTTCCAAACCCAAACCCTAACCCTAATCTCATTCCTCACCACCATCCAGCAGCCCCTAGTCGCTGCAACCACCACTCCCTCCGATGTGTCACCATTGTGACCACCACCACCTTCATAGCCCCCTCACTACCGCCATTGAGAGAGAGAGAGTAGCAGTCACCACTTCTCTACCTCTAGCGAATATTGCTTTTAGATAAAAAAAAAATCCTAGATCTAGGGTTAGGGTTCTAGGAAAAGAAGAAGAAAATGAGGAGGATGATTAGAAAAACAGTACAATTGAAGATTTGTATCAATACCCATTTCTCCGTTTGTAACGAAAATGACCGATATAGTGTTTCCAAAGCTCTTCAAGGACGTTCTCAACATTTTCTTCGTGCTCGAAGACAATCCTCGAAACTGGGCTAGACTTGCTTGCGTTTGCACCAAATTCTATTCTCTCATTTGGTTCGGTAGTTTAGGGTTGAACCACCACCATTTGTTTGACGGTCTTCAACCGAACGACCACCATTTGTTCAGTAGTCTACACTCGAATCTCCACTATTTGTTTGGTACTGGTTTTTCGAACCAGGGGGGATGATTTCAAATGAAAAAAAATCAAACATGAGCATCGTGGGGAAGGGCTCTAGGGTTGTTTTGTGGGTGGCGACATTGATGAATGACTAAGAGGGAGAGCGACAGTGATGGTGGGTTGGTGTAAATTATTTCAATATGAAAATAATTAAATACCATAAATTATTTTAATATAAAAATAATTAAATATAACAATTAAAATAAATAAATAAAAATAATTAAATATAACAATTAAAATAAATAAATACAATAAACTATTTCAATATGAAAATAATTAAATACTATAAAGGGGTATTTGTTAGTAAATTCTATTTAGGAGACTTATGTCCCATTTAATCCCATTAAAACTAGCATTATTGCCACCTAGGAAAGGCAAAATTACCTGACCCGATTGTATTTATTTCAAACCGATTTTAATAATAAAAAACAGTAGATTTTTTTTAAGATCCTTGGTATTAAGATTTTATAGCCTAAACGACATCCAATATTTTCATAATGTCTAAGGTCCCTCAACATCAATCCAGAGAATTTCTCTGAATTTTCCAAAAAATTTCTCTCCAGAGAATTTCTGAGAAGGCCAGATAAATTCTCTGGATTCTAGTCTAGAGATTTTCTCTGGATTGCCTTCCCAATCACGATATAAACAAATCGATCACCCAAATAAGCAACAACAAACAATATACATATATATATATATATATAGATATAGAGAGAGAGAGAGAGAGAGACTCACTGACGGGAGAATTTCTCTGGTTTTCGCAAGAATTTCTCTAGGTTCAAACTAGAAAATTTCTCTACCAAGAACAAGAAAAATCAAGATTATAGTTTGGATGGAGAAAAAACAAAGGCATGAAAGAAACCTAATTAATTGTAGAGAAATGTGAGATGAAAGAATAGAAAATCATCCATATAATTAAATCCAAAAAAACTCATGAAGACAATTCTACTTTTTTGTGGTCAAGATGAGTCTATAGCTGCAAAGCCCAATCATACCTTCTGTATTCACTTCCAGACCTCTTAGCTTAATCTATTCTTCACCCATTACGAATCTATCGTCGAACACAATCTATAAGCTCACCTGCAACAATCTGTGCAACTCTAACAACGATTCTTCACATACCCATCAATTATTTTCTTGTTTCCAATCTTTCTCTTGGAATCAAAGGCATTGCTCTTGGTGGGGTTTTGTTTAACCTCAACCTCATTGTTTTATTGATCATATGCATAATTTTCTCTGGAACATATAAACAAACATGGGGTGGGCTATCTATGGAGTGTCTCAGAGGCTGGAAATCACTCATGAATTTGGCGATTCCAAGTTGCATTTCCGTGTGTTTTGAATGTTGGTGGTATGAAATCATGATTTTGCTTTGTAGGTTGTTGATAAGCCCCAAATTCACAGTTGCTTTAATGAGTATTTTGATCCAAACAACCTCATTAATCTACATATTCCCATCTTCTCTGAGCTTCAATGGGTTGTTTTTAGAATTGTCTTCATGTTCGTCGGAGAGAGAAGAGCAGAGAGAGAGGAAGAGAGGAAGAGGTCGGTTTGATTTGAGGGAATCAAATTTCTCTATGATATATGAGTGTTAGGGTTGAGGGACCTTAGACATCACAAAATAATATTGTGGACATTTTTCATTACTAAAATGAGATAAGAACCTTAGATTAAAAAAAAAAAGGTTTGGAAGAGTATTGATTGAGTTGGGTAAAGTACAGGGATATGTAGGTTAAAGTTGTCAGGTTAGAGTAAAATATGAAATTGTATTAGTTAAATAGTTGAGCTTAAAATCAACAATTCACCCGTGAAACCTGAAAAATCCCGACCCGTTACCATCCCTATTGCCACCAAATTATATAGATAGTAATAACTAAACATATATATTCTTACTTAAACTTAATATCTAATACAAAAATGATTGACTCACCGAATTTGAACTCACCCGAATTATATAAGTCGGACATTTGGCTGGATGACCTCCCGGATGATCGGCATCACCCTCATCAACCCACGGTTGTCACCCTTGACACACCGGTCACCGTGGTTGTCACCTTTGTCTACCGATATGTCAACCGGCATCTAATCGGCATCCTATTGGATGACCAACCAGATGACCTCTCGAATGATTGGCATGCACAAATTCGAGTAATTCAAACAAGTCCAAATTCGATAGATGTAGCACCGCTCTATCTAATAATATTAGTTGAGATTAAATAAAAGATTCTCCATGAATGTGTTGTTAAAATAGGATTATCCATTTCAAAAATATACCTAACCATTAGAACAAAATGTTGAGTATCCCTAATGTTGAGTATCCCTCATTTTTTTGGAATCCAACAAGAGTATCTATATCTGATTAAAAAAAAACAAGAGTATCTATATATGTAAGTATATATGATATATTTATATAATATAAAAAATATGTGAATGTTCATATTATATTCTATGAATAAGAATAATGTAAAATTTTAAAAATTAAAAAATATTAACATTTTTAATAAATTAGAATAATATTAATATCTTTTAAAAAATATGAATATTCACACTAACTTCTATACTTTTCAAAAATTCATAATATTTTACTAATTGAAAGTATGAATATTCATATTTATAATTTTCACATTTACTAGAAAATTCACACTATTACATTTATAAACGCAGAGAAGAAGAGCCTCATGACAAAACATTTCTCAAACAATGAAATTTTAGAAGTGGAAAAATTTTACACTGCCAAATAATAATAAAAAAGAGTAAAATTTTATTTTTTTTCATTGTACATAAATTTATATTCAATTGAGATTTTGTTTTAATAGATCTCGTTCTGTAGTTTTCAAAAATCTTTATAAAAAATTGAAGTATGTTTTAAAGATGATGGAATTTTAAAGTTTTAAAATATAAAAGAAAATGTTGCCATATAAGCATGTTGACGAAAACAAAGATAAACTGTCATGGAAAAACATTTAATTCAAAAAAAAGATATTCCAGAATACAATTTCAAATATATAAGACTTATCGGATCACAAGTATTTCCATTGAATTTATGACTAGACAAGTTTTTGAAAATGGACTTTCTACTAATTTTTTCTTAATAATAAACACAGTTATCATGCGAATATTATGCTATGATATAAGCTGTTATTGAATATAGTATTTAGTATTCATATTGATATGAATATTTATAATGTTATACCATATAATATTCATATTGACATGAATATTTATACTATTTAATTGTTTTAATTATTTTCATATTGAAATGGTTTACAATATTTAATTATTTTAATTGTTTTAATTGTTTCTATATTAAAATAACTTATAGTATTTAATTATTTAATGGTAATACAATAATTTTACATTAAAAATATATTTTAAAAAAAACCACATGAATCATAAGTTATCCATATGAGATTTTTGAAAAAAATGTCAATAATTTGAAAGGGGATCTCTTCCGCCCTCGTCTGAATTGAAGAGGCACTGTCTGAACTTGTGAGGCTCATTCTGAATCTTGTTCTTATAATTCAAATATTTAATTTTTAAGGTTATTTGCATATAACATTTATTAAAAAATAAATAAATCAATCCGATA